CACAAATTCGTTAATAATACGATGCACACATCACAACACGGTGGTAACTCTCAAATAATTCTGGCCTTTAACGAACATTAAATTAGATTACACTTCCATAAATACATATATCATGCATGCATATGCAATGTATGACTTACAAATTTCGTGGCAGAATTATAGCGTTGATAACATCTGTACATCAGTTAACCACCCACAACGATGTACACTTTCAAATTTCACGCTAAACTGCATGCTTGTGCCCTCATCCCATCCACCCACAGTTACCGCCCATGTCCAAGCCAAGCCATTCAACCGCATTGCGCTAATATAAACCAAAGTGTCTTTCTGTCACATAATCGGGTCAAACCAGGATTCGAATCACAATTATATGTTTCTGGCATGCACAAGGGACGCAATAGTGCGCCTGAATTGCGGCGCCACTGAATTAGAACTTTGATACTTTCTGGTTCAGGTTCCAATAATGTAAATATGATTTATTTTACGAAACTGGAACAAAGGTTCTTTGTGCACTGGCAGAAGGTGTTATTGATTTAATAAAACCAGACGTACTTATACCTTAAAAGTATCTAAATGAGCCAAAACGAAGAAACACACTGGTTTATTTCTGTTGTTTCCTGATTAACCAAAGGTGAGACCATGCGAATAGACCTCCACGTGTGCCACCCACGATAAAGTGTTCTTTGAGCCATCGTCGCTGCTTGCAGCTATACTTTCATAACTGCTCACACAATTTCCGCAACATAAATTTTAAGCACAATCCGGATTAAATATCTGTCCCTTCATGCATAAGATGTAATAACAAATTAGAAAAAACCTACACGGTGGCAACAACGGTCTTTATTGTGTAACATTCTCGGACCATATAGCCTATTACGCCCAATAGAATTTTGTTTCGAAGGAATTACGAGTTATTCCCTGGTGTTGATATTTTACATTTACTTAAACTAGGTCGAAGTTGAATAAGAAGTATGGCATGAAAGGCCGCTTGTTAAAAAGGCTTTAGGCTACTAGTTACATAAGAGCTCGAAGCAAAAGCGTATTTGTGAAAGGAGAAATATCCAAACGAAGGGACATGAAGGCTGGCGTTCCACAGGGGTCCGTGCTTGTCCTTTACTCTTTATTGTAATGAAACGTTCAATAAGCACAGATTTGGCAATATTAATTGAAATGGCGAAGCCTTGCCGGACTAACAATCCCGAAGAGAATAAATCTGTTCAATGCTCTCGTAACGACACCGTTGGAGGTGTACAACTATATTTTAACGAAAAAGAAATCTGGTCTGTAAACAGTCATACGCACTTGGGTGTTATCCTTGATGCCTGTGGCAAATGGTCTTGCCATATGGATACCATAATGAAAACAACTTTCAAGATGATTTATTTAATGAGGCATATCAAACATCTACTTCACGGAAATACCATTAACAATATATATAAAACTTATAAGACCAACATTGGAATAAGCATGTCAGGTATGAGGTGTTTGCATCCAAGCATTCGTTTGTTAGTTCGATCATTTCTTGTTTAACGCCGCACTCAGCAATATGACAGCGGTCTGTAAATAATCGAGTCTGGACCAGACAGCTCAGTGATTGACATCATGAGCAACGATCTACGCAAATAGGAATCGATGATATGCATCAACCAAGTCAGCGAGGCTGACCACCCGATCCCGTTAGTCGCCTGTTACAAGCATGGTCGCAAGCATCGGTATCTGAAGACCTATTCTAATCCGGTGTAATAACGGGTGTACCAAAGGACAAAGTGAGAAATTAGAAATTCAGTTATGCAATATCACATACTTGTTGCGTAACGTGCAATTTTTGACAAGCTCTTACTTTAGTAACAAGACTAATATGTAATAAAAACCCTAAGCCTTACCCCGAAATAGCCTTCCTACAAGTCGCGGATGTTACGCTGATCCTCAATGGCAGAAGGATATTACTTTGCCTGTCTGGAATCTGCTTAAACGAGACTGTTTTTTTGGTGTTGACGTTTTATATATTATATACACTGTACCGCAAAAGAAACTTCATCATGGATAGATATATGAGAAACCTAATTTGGCCAAACACTGTAAACATACTTTGAGACATATTAAAATGATGAATCTTGGCAAAACTGATCATCAAGGTTGATATTAAAGTGTCAAATGTTCTTAAAGTGAAAGACATCACTAGTCTCTGAGAAAATGGCATCACAAGTCAGTATCTCGTGTGTCCGCCATGTGCATTGATGACTGCCGTGCAACGTCGATACATGGAATGGATGAGGCGGTTGATGAAGGCAATAGGCACTTGAGCCAACACGTGTGGGTATAGTATGGCGTGTGGCCTCAAGACTTGATCAATGTACCGAGCTGCTGGGACACCATTGCCTCTGGAAGACCATATGGCCGACCCACGCCATGATGCTCTGACCACCCCACGAGTCTCTCTCAACAACACAAGCATCCGAATAACGTTTCCCACGGCGTCGCCAGATTCTCTCTCTCTCTCTCTCCCTCTCTCTGCCATCTGCTGTTGAGATACAGTAACGGTTCTCGTCTGAGAAGAGGACTCTTCTCCACTGCTGGTGCTGTGTTGCCCACTGAAGACGGTCACGGCGACGACGTTGCGTCAGAATGTGTCCTCGGTGTGGCCTGTGACAGTGGATGTGTCTGCTTGCCGGGCGGTTTGTCCAGCTTGCAATCGTCCAAGGGCTTGGTGTCGCTGATTTCTTGTCAATATTGGCATTTCAATTTGCACGGAACACGTGCATCGGGTTACCATGGCGTGATGCGTTTGGGCGATCGGTTTTATTGTCATCTGCTTTGTTTTTTATCATCAAATTTCATTTTTCAGGACAAGGTAATGCTAAATTTTAGAAACTTTGACAAAAACTACCCAGATATTTAAATGACAACTTTTCATGCAATGTTACTTGGGGTGACGTTTTTTTGGCGGTTCAGTATATAATCGAGCAAAAAGCAAAATGTTTTTCTAAATGCATGCCATTAAGCAAATAATTACTGATGCTATTATTCTGGGTCGTTCACAAAAGAACTTAAACTAGTGGGTCCGCCGGTAATTTCAGCGGCTCGTGTCAATACTTGTCAACAGACATTTACTCCAGCCAATGGTGAGGTGAGGTGAAATAGGGTTTAACGTCGCGTCCAAGAGTATTGCACTCATATAGCGACGTGCATGTACGTGTGTGTGTGTGTGGCTGCTTGTACTAGTCCGGACTGATGCCGATTTATAGTGCTAGCCCACTGAGATACCATGCCGCAGTTTAACATGAATACCCCACTCAGACACAGTATACTGACTCCGAGCCTACCAGTCCTTGTTTTAGCCCCTTAAAGCCGAGCGCCAGACAGGGTAACAACAAGTACCACCTTTTAATGTCTTTTGGTATGACGCGGCCGGGGATCGAACCCCGGACTTTCCGCTCTCCGGGCCAGCCAATGGAGTGTGTTCAGCGGTCTGAACAGATGTAAGAAACTCCTCGCTCATAAGATGGTGACTGAGACTGGGAAGCTATAGAGGTCTGAAAATTTGCGAGTTTCATATGCATGCCGTATGCCACAGAAAGGACTGTCGTGAGGGTGGGGTCGCGTGGTGTGGTGGGGATGGGTATTGTTTCAGAATACTTTTTCAGTCAAACCAATTTGTTTCTGTGCGAGGGAGGCCAAACAAGTTTGTGTTTTTCTGTAACCCATAACACATTACATTATTTTTAAAAAAATCCAGGATGAATGAACATGATGAAAAATACCTATTAAATGAAAACTTCTAAATTAAAATGGTCTTCATTATTGCTTTTAATTGGGTAGTTCTGTCCTTCGAAGCATTTTAATACTTTGTTCTCTAATTCGATAAGATGCAATGTCACATCCATGTTCTACAACCGCAGTGATAATGAGATATTATTGTGCATTCACAAAGTACGCATGTACACGGGTTAAATATTTGCCATCCGCATGTTAACGGACGCGTGAAATGATATGGAAACACGTTTATGTTCCCTGTGAATGTAAACTTTATCGCTAAAAGGCTTTGCCTTATATGCATGTCACGTAAGTATTTGTTAAGATGTTTATTTTCTTATTAGGTCTGAGTTTCTTGTTATAAATACTTGTGCATTTACACAGGGGGGATTTCTAATGGATTCCTGGACATTGTCCTCAACAAGTACCTGCATCGCTACTTCGAAATAATAGGACATCATAACCGCAAAACCTGTAGGGTGACTTTGTTTTTGTAAACTTTATTGAAAAGTGTACCGAGCGTACCAAGCCCCCGTAGGATGACAGCTTAATATATCTATCCAAAACAACTTTACAAACAGCCTGGCTCTGAAACACATGTCTTTGTTATACACCACATCACACAGCAATGTAGTTTACTTTTGGTCTGGAAGGCAACTTAGTGTAGAGGTATTTGTACAATTAAATCAAATACGTTTCATGCCGCGCTCTACAAATTTGGCAAATGATGTCATGATGCCACAAGGCACCAAGCAGTGATAAATATGCATTTATTGTTGGCACACGTGCTTATACACAAGGAAATGTCTGAACAATTATATTATATTATATTATATTATATATTTTTTCAATATATCACCATATGCACTTACTTAGGTCGTATAATACCCCAGGCTCCTTGGCAGTGTTAGCACGAAAGCGAGTGAAAATACAGATAGCTTTAATATACGAGGGCCATTCAATATATAACCAGCCTAAGCTATTTATCAGATCTTAACGGTTGCATGCTTGTCACGTGCTGTGCACCAATGTATGTCACGTGCATAGACAAAGTTTCACTGAGGAAATTGTATTTGAAGTCACACACGTGATCTATAAAGATGGCAAGGGTAGATTCTGCCAAATTTTCGTCAAAGGTTGAATACAGGACTGTTATTAGGTACCTCTACATAAAAGGGAAACCGGGAAAGGAGATACATGATGAATTGTCAGATGTTTATGGTGACAGTGCACCTTCGTATTCACAGGTCAAATTCTGGGTTGCAGAATTTAAGAGGGGTCGGGTGAACCTGGAAGATGAGCCACGCCCTGGCAGGCCTGTAGAGGTGACCAATGACCAAACCAGTGAAGCTGTGAGACAACTGGTTGTCAAAAACAGGCGAATGAAGGTGCCAGAAATGGCCAAGGCCTTGGACATTTCAGAGGGAAGTGTCCATACCATTTTGCATGATCGTCTGGGTATGAGGAAGCTGTCTGCCCGATGGGTCCCGAAATGTCTGAGTGATGATCAGAAGGCTGTACGTGCGTCAATGTGTCAGGCACTTTTGACGCAATGCAGTCGGGATGCAGACAACTTTATGGAGAGAATTGTTACTGCTGATGAAACCTGGGTACACCACTATAACCAAGAACAGAGTAAGCAGTGGACTGGCTTTGCTTCACCCCTCCCAAAAAGTTTAAGACTCAACCATCGGCTGGCAAAGTCATGGCAGCCAGCTTGCGGATACCAAAGGGGTCTTGCTCATTGACTACTTGCCACGTGGCCAGACTATTACTGGAAAGTACTACTCCGATCTCCTGGACCGTTTGCGGACTGCTATTCTTGCCAAACGTCGTGGAAACATCACAAAAGGTGTGCTGCTCCAACATGATAATGCCAGAGTGCACACCTGTCGACTTGCGGTTGCCGCAGTGAAGCGGAACGGGTTCAAAGTATTGCCTCATCCACCTTACTCACCAGACCTGGCACCAAGCGACTACTTTCTCTTCCCAAACTTTAAGAAAGAACTGCGTGGACGTCATTTCCGTTCCGATGATGAACTCACGACAGCAGTGGAGGGGTGGTTACACGAACAACCCCATGGTTTCTATCACAACGGGCTTTTAGCTCTCACACATCGCTGGACAAAGTGCATAGACCTCAATGGTGATTATGTGGAAAAAGAAGAAGTGAGGAGCAGTAGCAAATAGGTTAGGCTGGTTATATATTGAATGGCCCTCGTATAAACTGTAGAACAGAATATTCACATGTCCATCAACAATTCTGAAATATTACATATGGTTATGTACAGACAGGTATGTATTAGTCCAATGCCAAATTTAAATAATGTGGTATGAGTAGTATTTGATTAAATTGTACAAGCACCACAACGCAATATTACCCGAGCATTACTATTAACGCCGAAGACTCAACTGAGGGTCTTAAGTTAGTGTATTGGATTGTCCATCAATCAGCGGATCATGGAACATACCATACAAGCGAGGTTCATCTTTCATGAGAATCACCAACTCTATGGAAGAACATCTTATCGTGTGCTTTAAAACACTTCAGTATCCAACTTGACTGTTCTCACGCAAACATATGATGTCAAATGAGTGAGTGAGTTTGGTTTAACGCCGCTTTTAATAGTATTCCAGTTATATCGCGGCGTGGCAGCTTAATGTGGGACGAAAGCCCGAAGTGATGCAGGTCTTAGACGTTTACCACTTCGGTGAAACCCACGAGCACGGGTATGGTGCTGACAAACCTAGAAATATAATCGGGGCGAACCGGGATTCGAACCCACAATCATAGGTTTCTGGCGTGTCCAGGAGATGGTGTCAAATGATACATGATGCAAGGAGCCACGGTAAAACAATAGTGGTACAAAAACATAGTAAATGATGCACGCATGATGATATTGGGTACAACGAAACATGATCAGGACAGCTGGTTCACTGATACATACGAGGGTTGATTGACATGCTCTGAACCTCACATGTGAATGTGACATCAGTGAACCCATCCCGGACAACATACTCCACTTGAATGGTTACTAGGGTGACCACTTACTGTGTGAGTAGGTGGTAAGCTATCCTGTATGATTTGGGGGACCAGTGTGAACACACGTATGATTTGAGGGACCGGTGTTTCATCCCTGAATGGTTAATGTGACAGATGTATACCAGTAATTTGGGTGACCAGTGCCAATACTCTTCATGATTTCGACGTTATCCATGCATGATTGAAGTGATAAGTGTATCATCCATGCATACTTACTGATATACAATCCATTCATGACAAGGACTACCAACGTGTCATTCATGTATGTTTCATTTGGACAGTGAGGTTGTCATTGGAACTATGCGTGTACAGACAGCCACACTGAAGTGAAAACCACATGGCAAGTTGATGCATATTTGTGGTGAGCCATTGTAATGTAAAATAATATACTCTGCAAAACCCTACAAAATTAATACCAAAAATGAATAAGTCATTTTACATGGATTGGGATTGATTTGTGCGAAAAGAATGAGGTACTGCAGAAAGTTGGGGAAAACATTGGTAAATCGCAAAAACACAATCACGTGAGAGCCTTGCGCCGAAAAACACCAACATGACCAGCGCGTGAACTGCCTGAACATTAGTTGATGCTCTATAAAAACGTTGTTTTTTCATTTGCATGTAATCACAATCTTACAGCAAGTGAACAGCGAAAACATGCCACGACTGACGGGAAGGCCAACGCAACAACGCCATCGGCCGACTGCAAACAGGAGAATCATCATCAGCTATAGCCAGGTTTCTCAACGTAGCACCAAGCACCATTTAGAGACTGTGGAACCATTATCGGTCACATGCCTTCCCGCGGATATCTACTAGAGTACAAAACAGATTCAAACGGCAACGTCACTTCCGTGAAAGAACCACCACTCGCACCAGTACAACCATGGCAATACCAGGATTGCGTAGGATGTCAGCCCAAAAACAACGTGCTGAAGGTTTTCGCGCCAGACCACCAGTTGCATGTGTCATTTTGACGAACCTGCATCGTCGGCTGCGACGTCAATGGTGTCAAGGTCACAGAGTATGGCCACAACTGTGATGAAGATTCTTCGGCCTCACGTCCTTCCCCTTATGCAACAAAAGAACGTCATATTCCAAAAGACACAACGCCCGACCGCACACGGCAAGATTGACAAATTTTGTCAGGAATCACAGCATCCAGGGGCCACCATGGCCCTCCAGATCTCCAACCCTATCGAACGTTTATAGCATGCGCTGGATCAAAGAGTACGAGCACGTCAGCAACAACCACAGAACCTCCGACAGTTGTGAAGATTCCCCAGACCAAATTCTGATTGCTTCCATGGGATGACGATGCCAGTCAGTTTTGGACTTTAATGGTGGTAATACATCATTTTGAGAATAGATGACCGAAACCTTCAAAGACTACTGTTCCATGTGTGCCATACAGAACCAGGGTCAATTACAATGATGTGTGCCAATTTTAAACAATCGATTACCATTTGATGATTATCAATACCATATATAGAATATACACCTAAAATCACTTTTGCGTTTCCTTTTTGGCAGAGTTTAGTTAATAGACGTCGTGTAAATAAATAGATATTCATATCACTGGAAGGTTCGAGAAACTCAGTGATAAAGCTAAAGATGGCCAACGAACGTTTCTTCCAAAAGCTGCTTTATTTCAAACGGAGTTAATATTTTCGTACACATAAGTCCCTACTGATAGCTATGACACCTGTGCTAAAAGGAAATTCCAATTTTAATATTTTTAGGTCAGGTGTTCCATTAGATCTGCCTGTCCATTGGTATCTCTCGATGGTTTCCTTTCATTTCGAATGCTGTGTCAGGTGGAGCAATACGCGTTCGCATAATATCCTTTCATACATATGAGTATAATCTGTTGACAAAAAGTACCTTTAAAGCAGTCAAAAAGAATGTAGAGGATGTGCATAAAAATAGAACTCATGAATAAATTGTAACCTAGTTATTACAAACTCTTCGGCGTTTTGTATGGCCTCCAGGCCGTGAAGCGGCCCTGTGATTAAAACGCTCGCTCGTCGCACCGAAACGCGTTGATTCCCAGGATTAATGATATATGCAGCAATGTCTAACAGCGCATGCCATTTCACATATACAAATGTTAACACAGTGTCTCACAATTCTAATGTGCATTCTCTTTGTGAGACAAAACTGTAGTTACTTGCAATACCGATTTTTTAAAGTAATTATTCATGAACTCGTTATGAACCAGACAGGCTGTGCTTGTATCAAACAATTGCAAGGTCGTTATTTTTATCGTGCCCATTGGAACATCCAGTTCATGAACATTACTTCTTCAAAAATAAAATTACATGTTATATAATCCTTTAAATATCTCTCTTTATTAGTCTTCACTTTAATCAATACTTGTAGGCCACGGGACTTTATGTACAAACGCAATACAATTTAGGTGCAAACAGTATAAAATACAACACATTCCTTTGCATTTTATTTTTGAAAAAGCAGTTTTAACATAATTGCATATTATCAAAACTGGAGTATTTGTGTTCTTACAGCATTGGCGTAAAATCAAGTACTTTTCTTTATTCATATTGATAATAGGGTCTTGCGATGACAGTAGTGTATTAAACTTCAGAATATTTGGAAAGATGTAAAACTTTGCCTCAGATGGCTATAACATAGAAATTTAAAAAAAAGAAGTGATATTCATTTTCGATATGGTTTAGGTTACAAACTTTACATTTTCTAAATTCACGAGGAATGTTGAACTGAACCCAAAACGAGTCCTGATTTTTATTTACAGTTATACTACTCAAATAGTTCTCACATGAAATGGATGTTTTAAACTGTGCATAATATGCCATTTGGGGGTTTTCGCATAAATTACCATGCCAAACCTGAAAAAAGGTTTTAACCGCTGATGTAACATATTTAAAAACGCGGTTTTATTACCACATGTTTGAAAGTACCAGACATCCCCAAATCCTAATCTGAAAGTAACAGATTTAAGTTTCGTTACCCAATTTACGTGGCCTTGTTCATCGTACAACTGCAGCATATTGTTGCATATTTTGGGGGTATACGAGATTCCTGCATATTATAAAGAGACAGCCAATTTTTGACACACTTCAAAACAGCGAGCGACTGAATAGAACATCTGCCAGACTCGGTTCTATGTCACTGAACCCCCAAATTCCAGCCCCGTATAAAAGCATTGGTGATATCTTTGTATCTAAACATTTGAGTGAGTGAGTGAGGCGAGTATGGTTTCAGGGAATGTATACTCATTAACAGGACCATGAACACCTTTCTTGCCTCAATTGGAATATTATTTAAACATTCGATCTCAGTAATCTATTGCTAAAATACAAGCCAAGATAACTGTATCCGGTAACTACTTCATACGCATTTCCATCATAATACCATTTTTTCATAACGTGATAAACCTCCCCTATTTTTGAAAAACAACTATTTTTGTTTTCGATAGATTGACTGGCATTTCCCATTTACACCAGTCATCATGTAAGATATTCAACTTCATTTGTACACAGTAAGGTCTTACGCTAATAGAAGTAGAAAAATTTAAATAAATTCCGGATGTAACTAAACACCATTTCCATTTTGTAACCAATTCGTTTATGAAAAAAACTGAAACAAAAAGGGCCAAAGCATACACCCTTGACTCACACCCATGAAGCAACACATATACCAGATACTCTGTTGTTTGAACGAACACAGGCCTTTACATTACTGTACAAGGATTGTAACATTTTACCAATTTTAGCACTCAAACCATGTTTGTACAATGGCTTCCATAGATGTCGTCAAGCCAGCTGATTTATTATGTTTCCAAGCACTGATGCTTTCAAAAAGTTCGGATCTGGTGATTGTGGATTCTGATATGTCAATTGTCAATTCTTGCACATAACCATGACCTGTCACTATGTCTTCCACCTCACCAAGATTATCCTGAATACCCATTGGTTCAGAATTCAGCGACGAGAAATAGTCCCCCAGTCTTGTATATCAATAGGATTGGGTCGTTGCGGTCGTCCAGACATACATATGATGTCCCAGAAACGTTTAGAGTCTACCGCTGCTGCATTTTCTAGGTCACTCCTTTTACATTGTGCAAACTGGTCCTTCTTGATTCCACACAGTAATTTGTATTCATGCAAACTTTGTTTTACTTAATAAGGTATGAGTTATCTTTAGTTATTTCTGAACGCATTTACATAATGGCACCGTTCATGTTTTTTACAGAGACATTCATCAACATCAGGGAACATGTCACTCGATGCCAAACCATAATCTATCACACTACACCCTAAATGCCCAATAGGAGGCACGGGTGGCCCAGTTGTCTGAGTTGCGTCCCTTGGGAACGCCAGAAACCTATGATTGTAGGTTCGAATCCCATTTCGCCCCGATTATGATTCTAGGTTTGTCAGCACCATACCCATACTCGTGGGTTTCACCGAAGTGGTAAACGTCTGAGGCATGCATCACTTCGGGCTTTCCTCCCACATTAAACCGACATTAAGCCGTGATATAAATGGAATACTGTTAAAATGGCGTTAAACCCAACTCACTCACTAAATGCCAAATAAATGTTCAGTCACCGATTTGATAGTCAGTTCCAAATCTTCCATTCACAATATGTATGTTCAGAATTGAACACATTTCCAAAAGAGTTTTTTCAAAGTAAATTATCACATGAATATCTTTCCATCTCAAATTGTGTAAAAACATCTATTCAGTAATTGTTACTTTCAACATGGTGAATAAAATCGTGCTCCACATAGTCCCGCGTCACACTGGTTCTACTGTTCATGTACAATGGACCTGTGAAGATCCGGGGCAGAATAGGTTTTGAGCAACCCATTCTTGCCATAAAAGGCGACTATGCTTGTCGTAAGAGGCGACTAACCGGATCGGGTGGTCAGACTCGCTGACTTGGTTGATGCATGTCCTCATATCCCAAATGCGTGGATCGATGCTCATGATGTCGACCACTGGATTGTCTGGTCAAGACTCGATTATTTACAGACCATATATTGCTCAGTGCGGCGGTAAACAGCAAACAAACAAACAAAATCCAACGCCACTGCGGTACGAGGACAGGCATTCAACTACTTAAGTCAACGAATCTCATCACTGCGTGAGATTAGCATAGTGTTTGATAAGAAAATTTAGCATCCCTTTACAATTCAATACAAAATTGTAATTTCCCTACCAGAGCCTGTAGGAGGGATAAGCCCTGTGTATTGTAACGACGGGACGTTATGGTAGATACCACACTCTCTACTGTAGTTATGCACCATGACATGCGTGTTCAGTAAAATATGTGTTTTTTTATGCAAACTTGTACATAACCAACGAAATTCATGTCAGATAAAACGTTAAGCCTTACCTCTATAAAGCCCTGTTACAAGTCCCGTCTTGAATCTGTTCAGCTGGATATTAGAGACAGGATGTTCTCTGGCGTTGTGGTTTTATGTATCATAAATCCTTGTTTAGCAGCACTTTTGATGAAATGCATGTCATTACGCAAATACTATTCGTTCACAACCTGCGACTCGCCTACTATGTAAGACGTTAGAGAGTATACATGTCACGTGACATTTACTCCAACCAATAGGAATCTTCCGTGTTTACTGCTGAATCAGGACTTAGGTGGAAATGAGACGCACTTACTCATAACTGAAGCCCGTTGCTCAAAGTGGTCTCAGCGCAACGACTATGCAATTTGGATCGATAACATGCATCAACCAAGTCAGCGAGCCTGACCACCCGATCCCGTTTGTCGCCTTTTACGACAAGCATAGTCGCCTTTTACGACAAGCATATATGTGTGTGTGTGAAGGGGGGTGAGGGCCAGAACACTTTTTCAATCAAACCATTATTATCTTTGAGAAGTTCCTTTGCAACCCATGACACGTTATTTACCAGAACATGCCGCATGTTCAGTGTAATATTGAAAAAACCTAAAAGGCTTCATTTTTGCTTTAGCTTAGAGGCCCTTCAAAGCATTTCAATACGAGATAAACGTTATGAAAGCGGATTGTTGAGCATTTACAAAGCACTTGGGCTCATATGATGGTTGGCAGATCGGTGTATTGAAGAAAGCGAAAAAAGGGGGAAGCATAAGGCATAACATACACTGGCTTAGAATTTCTCTGTCAATGTTAAATATATTGTTAAAACAGAGTTGTAAAAGAGTGTTTTAACATGTTTATTTCATATTTATGAGGGAAGAATGAATTAATATCTTCACGAAAAAGGACTGTATCAATTTAGGCCTGCTTACGAAACATACTCAACATCACCTGTCTTTGTTAAACAATACAGTGCACAGAGCAATAAAGATCACGTTTCGAATGATATTGGAGGTTACCCAGAGCTGTGGGATCGAATGTGGCATTTCATGATGTCACATGGCATCCTACCGTGTGAAATGTAGAAATTTATTGTTGACACACATTCATATAAACAAGAGGATGTCTGAACGACACAGTCGTTCCAATGACTCAGAAAATAACTATCTTCGGCACTGATCTAGGTAGCTGTTATTGGCCGTGTGCTGTTTGTACGAAGATTTCAAAGAGAGCCACATGACTCTAGCTCAATGGTTGTTTGGTCAAGTGAGTGAGTGAGTTTGATTTTACGCCGCTTTTAGCAATATTCCAGCAATATCACGGCGGGGGACACCAGAAATGGGCTTCACACATTGTACCCATGTCGGGAATCGAACCCGGGTCTTCGGCGTGACGAGCGAACGCTTTAACCACTAGACTACCCGACCGCCCCACAACATTCAAGGCCTCAGTAAAGCTTCCCAAACGTTTTATTGAGGACAGGTGTATTTTCAAATTGACTTGCCTTTGCATGTGTTTGTGACGGGAAAACCACTATGTAATAGTGATTCATAAGCACATGGTTATGATATAGTCAGAATCGTACAATCGACTCTGCTATAAGTAGAAATTTCTTATGAATGTGGAAAGGTTGTTTTTTTATTTTTTAACCCCATCTTCAACACGAGCTATATTCGAAGAATATATTGAGGTAACCTAATTATTTCAAACTTTTTAACTCGATATATCGATGTCTCTGTGGCCTCGGGGACATGAAGTTGCCAAGTGGTTAAAGCGTTCGCTCGTTGCACCGAAACGCGGTTCAATTCCCGCCGAGATGTTGCTAGAATATTGTAAAAGCGGCGTAAATGTATACTCAATCACTGTCATTATGGTCCGACAGAACCCGACTCTGTTGTCCAATATCGGCACTCCGGTTGTCTCGAACTACGGGTAACACGGGACATCGTATTTGGTTTCCATTATCAATTATATATGAACACATATATAACAGTAAATAAAAGCGAGAAAACCCTTTCCATATTCATTTTAAAGCTCTGCTAAAAGTACAGTCGATTGTACAATAACAACCATATCGTGAGTATGTGTCTTTGAATCACTATCAAACAGTGATGATATCTAAAGTTCGCGACAAATGCATACTATTGTATACATACGGCCCTGCACTGCACGCTCTTTGTGACCGACAAAGAGCACACTTACGTAACTGTATTAACTTGACTTAAAAAAAATAAACACATTGTATGAACATGTTTACGAATCAGAGTAAGTCTACCACATAACGTCCTGATTATGACCGCTCACAGTGGGGATTCAGGTTTATAATCATTATTTTCATATTAGATGCTATTAAATCACAAGGCATGTGACCTAAATAATATTTATAAGCTTGTAGAACCAAGAATCCCCAACGGCTCGTTACCATGTCATTTGTGTGGTTCTCTGTAGAGGGGCACAGGCGGACGTTCTACCACTAGGCCACGGAGGGGGTCTGTGGGTATACATGTAGTTCCTACCACAACATTACCACGAACCAAGAATCCTCAACGGCTCGTTACCATGTCATTTGTGTGGTTCTCTGTAGAGGGGCACAGGCGGACGTTCTACCACTAGGCCACGGAGGTGGTCTGTGGGTATACATGTAGTTCCTACCACAACATTACCACGAACCAAGAATGCTCAACGGCTCGTTACCATGTCATTTGTGTGGTTCTCTGTAGAGGGGCACAGACGGACGTTCTACCACTAGACCACGGAGGCGGTCTGTCTGTATACATGTAGTTCCTACCACAACATTGCCACGAACCAAGAATCCTCAACGGCTCGTTACCATGTCATTTGTGTGGTTCTCTGTAGAGTGGCACAGGCGGACGTTCTACCACTAGGCCACGGAGGCGGTCTGTCTGTATACATGTAGTTCCTACCACAACATTACCACGAACCAAGAATCCTCAACGACTCGTTACCATGTCATTTGTGTGGTTCTCTGTAGAGGGGCACAGGCGGACGTTCTACCACTAGGCCACGGAGGTGGTCTGTCTGTATACATGTAGTTCCTACCACAACATTACCACGAACCAAGAATCCTCAACGGCTCGTTACCATGTCATTTGTGTGGTTCTCTGTAGAGGGGCACAGACGGACGTTCTACCACTAGGCCACGGAGGCGGTCTGTCTGTATACATGTAGTTCCTACCACAACATTACCACGAACCAAGAATCCTCAACGGCTCGTTACCATGTCATTTGTGTGGTTCTCTGTAGAGGGGCACAGGCGGACGTTCTACCACTAGGCCACGGAGGCGGTCTGTGTGTATACATGTAGTTCCTACCACAACATTACCACGAACCAAGAATCCTCAACGGCTCGTTACCATGTCATTTGTGTGGTTCTCTGTAGAGGGGCACAGGCGGACGTTCTACCACTAGGCCACGGAGGTGGTCTGTGGGTATACATGTAGTTCCTACCACAACATTACCACGAACCAAGAATCCTCAACGGCTCGTTACCATGTCATTTGTGCGGTTCTGTGTAGAGGGGCACAGGCGGACGTTCTACCACTAGACCACGGAGGCGGTCTGTCTGTATACATGTAGTTCCTACCACAACATTACCACGAACCAAGAATCCTCAACGGCTCGTTACCATGTCATATGTGTGGTTCTCTGTAGAGGGGCACAGGCGGACGTTCTACCACTAGGCCACGGAGGCGGTCTGTCTGTATACATGTAGTTCCTACCACAACATTACCACGAACCAAGAATGCTCAACGGCTCGTTACCATGTCATTTGTGTGGTTCTCTGTAGAGGGGCACAGGCGGACGTTCTACCACTAGGCCACGGAGGCGGTCTGTCTCTATACATGTAGTTTCTACCACAACATTACCACGAACCAAGAATGCTCAACGGCTCGTTACCATGTCATTTGTGTGGTTCTCTGTAAAGGGGCACAGGCGGACGTTCTACCACTAGGCCACGGAGGTGGTCTGTGGGTATACATGTAGTTCCTACCACAACATTACCACGAACCAAGAATGCTCAACGGCTCGTTACCATGTCATTTGTGTGGTTCTCTGTAGAGGGGCACAGGCGGACGTTCTACCACTAGGCCACGGAGGTGGTCTGTGGGTATACATGTAGTTCCTACCACAACATTACCACGAACCAAGAATCCTCAACGGCTCGTTACCATGTCATTTGTGTGGTTCCCTGTAGAGGGGCACAGGCGGACGTTCTACCACAAGACCACGGGGGTGGTCCCCCTGCCACACAGGACGCACCTGCCACTCACACACAAAAGTAAGTGTTCGGTGCCTGTTTGTAATACTTATATTATAGTATGTACAGCCATTTAAAATGATGGCAACCTGATGGCAACCGATTTTCCCATCGTGAAATTCCCCTTCCTTTCTAGCAATCTACCTCCAGCTCCAGCTTCTGGCGTTTTCATGTCAATGTTGCTTTGGTATTGGATATATTATTAAAATTTCACGGAAAGACAAATTTTGCTTACATCTCATGGTTTCACAATCAAAGACCTGGTGAAGTCATTGCACAACTATTATGGTAGACATTCAGAGGAATTTACTAAAACTGACACGTTGTTTGTTGTCCTGTAGAATGCACAAACAGAAAATAGTGGAAACAGAATGCGAATAAAGCCATTCTGTCCTAAGGTACTCGTTATTGGTCAGTAAATAGAAATATGTCCCCCCTGTTTCGTAAGTAGGGAAAGCGTCAATCGCCATCTTGTCGGTTTTGTTCACATTGACATTTAGGTCGATTTACCTATTATACGCTTATTGTAAAACACGCTGGCCGCAGATCGATAGCCACCACATTTCTACACATGTAAAAGTCATCTAAATTCGAATATGTCCCTTACCTACCGAAATATCGACAGTATACATACATACATACATACATACATACATACATACATACATACATACATACATACATACATACATACATACATACATGATACATACATACATACATACATACACACACACACATACATACATACATACATACATACATACATACATACATACATACATACATACATACATACATACATACATACATACATACATACATACATACATGGTGTGGGGTGGAATTGGTCTTGCACAGGGGGTCGGCCATGTGGTCTTCCAGAGGCAATGGTGTCACAGCAGCTCGGTACATTGATAAGTCTTGACAGAGACAGAGACCCGGGTTTGATTCCCATCATAGGTACAATGTGTGAAGCCCATTTCTGCTGTCCCCCGCTGTGATATTGCTGGAATTGCTAAAAGCGGCGTAAAACCATGCTCACTCACTCACTCTTTCCCAGGCATGAATATCACTTTAGTGTCATACTGAAGTAGCCGTGACATCAAAGACTGTTGACGTTTTTTGCTTTCTCATAATGGGCTCCAGTGGTTTGAGTGAATCAGGGTTGGACGTCCAAAGGTGTATTGGTGAAATGTTTCCAAGGAGAACCCTATGGCCAAACTTTCTCAATTTGAGCGTAACCTCATTTGGTGCACGTGATCATGAGGACTCGACTGGCACATGCTAATGGCCTCCCTTGCTTCAAGGGAGATGTACCTAGTCCCTTGCTTGAAGCATCACATTCAGTTTCAAGCTCTTTACTGGGGTCGTACAAGCTCAGGATCGGTGCTTGTGTCACCAAACGCTTGTTCTCCGACACAGCAGATTATTACCCCTCAGATCATTTCCACTAGACGTCATTGTGAGTCGTCAGATCGGCTCAATCACATCAAGGACCCGTGAAGATCCGGGGTAGAATAGGGCTTCAGCAACCCATGCTTGCCGTAAAAGACGACTATGATTGACGTAAGAGGCGACTAACGGGATCGGGTGGTCAGACTCGCTGACTTGGTTGAAGCATGTAATCGATCCCAATTGCGTGGATCGATGCTCATGATATCAATCACTAAATTGTCTGGTCAAGACTCGATTATTTACAGACCGCCGTCATATAGCTGGAATATTGCTGAGTGCGGCGTAAAACAACAAACCAAACAAACCAACAATCACACCAGAGCTTAGGTAGAAGCACTGATAGGTAATTCACTGTTCCTTGCAATCTACGAACAGCATCAACATCTGTAGGGCTGCTCATGTTAAGAATGGCTTCCCCGTTCTTGTTTCAGATCATTTGCTGTGATTTCATGTCCGTGAAAGTCAACATGATCAGTATCACAGACACGTTTTTTTGTTTCAGTCACTGCACCTCTGTAGTAGTGAGTGAGTGTGGTTTTACGCCGCTTTTAGCAATATTCCAGCAATATCACGGCGGGGGACACCAGAAATGGGCTTCACACATTGTACCCATGTCAGGAATCGAACCCGGGTCTTCGGCGTGACGAGCGAACGCTTTAACCACTAGGCTTCCCGACCGCCCCCACCTCTGTAGTAACCTGTTCAGATCTCTGTCACACTCACCAAGAATCAGAATGTTATCGGCTACACTGACGACTCCATCTGGACCTTCAAGATTCTTGTTTAACATTCTTGGAAGATTTATCTAATGGCATCCATAACCACCTGTATCTTCCAATCGGCGTGATTACAGTACAGTAGACTACGGTTATAACGAACTCGAGGGACCACTAATTTTAGTTCGTAATAACCGTAGTTCGTTATAAGCATACATACAGCATATATACAACAAATGGTCGGGAATAAGAATAAGTTCGTTATATCCGTCAGTTCGTTATAAGCGTGTTCGTTATAAACGTAGTTTACTGTGGTATGATAGCTGCTCTCCTCAAGAACACAATGGCGGTAACCATGGGTAAGGTCAAGCTTATAAAACGCTTCGGCCTTAGCCAAATCAGGAAGTGCATAGTCAATAGTCGGCATAGGATAACACACACGTTGAAAAGCTTCGTTTAGCGATTCAGGATTTGGCCATGGCGTGAGTCATTCTGTTTTCTTCACTTGGACAGATATTTGTGAGCACCGATCTGTGGGCTCAGTCACAGGTATTAGAGTACTGTCGGACAAGCTAGAAAAATGTTTTTTTCTGACTTCATTTAATAATTACGAATCATAGGGCTATGAAAATAGCATAAACCAAAATAACACAAATTTAACTAATCAAGCCTATCCTAACTGACACGGTCATTTGCCTAAAAAGGTGCTTTTACGGTAAACTGATGATGAACTTAGAAAATATTCATGTGTTTTCATACATGTATGAAACGGCCTATAGTCTGAGGTAATAAATCACGTTGGTGGAACTGACCTTAAATTTCAAGAACTTGATATTCAGCCTCTTGCAATACCTCTCGTGTGATTCTAGCAAAGGCCGTGTTGATCATGCCTTTGGCATGTGTGAGTTTGAATGTTGTGTTATGTCTTGTCATGAACCCTTTACAGTTAGCCCAGATATGATCACTAGGAGTGCGCACACAATGTCTGACTGGCGTACGTTAGACAACGTGAGGGTGGTTTGCCGCAAAAAAAACCCATCTGTCTTGTACTTTACTGGTTTCCTATTCACGCGCCTTACCATATGAGTTGAACTTTCGATTCAGATGGTCTAAAGTCGACATTGCAAGATGTTAGATATTCATCGAGGTAAATGGTCTGGACGCCCTGACTGCGAGACATGATGACCTCATAGACAGGATGGAATATGTTCAACTGAAAACTGCTCGGCCTTCGCCACGTGCAGTGTATCTAAATCCCATCTCATGGCGAGCAATAATTAAAGGGAAACAACAACTGTGTCTTTAATTTCCTCCCGAATTCTACTCCAAGCCCGGCGTACCTTCTGTTCATAAACTTTTAACACTGACTTCCGTCTCCATGTCGTGTACCATGGATATGGCAATGTACATGTAATGCACCATACACCATGGGAGCACTGTTGACAAAACAAATGCAGTGTCATTTTGTTTTGTTTTTTCACATCCACACATAGAATTATCTCCGAATTGTTTTTATGGATTAGATGTTTTATGAAGATTAACATCATTATTATCATAAAGGACCAATATGCGCATGTCTGTATCGTCCGTTTTAGGCTACCCTCATTTGACTTCAAATAATTCTGACATTGCTGTTTTCCTGTAAAATTGTCAATAGGACTCCTTGTGACTGAAATACTTCAAACCACAGATAGGTATATCGGTACTTACTCGATATTTCAATGGCAACAGTCTCCGAAATATTCTATCTTGCTTTAACGGACAGAAAGCATTGTTTTAGCATTTTCGACAAGACACCTAACTTGCCCGTACTGTACAGGTCTTCTTTCAGCTTGGGTTTAACGGCTATAAGAATTGTTCTGGGAGGACACTCTGAAGGTATATATGGACGACGCCTGGGAGAGTTACCAGTGAGGATTTGTCGAACACTTGACCAAACATGGATAGGACATGATGGTATTGATCTGTCGAAAAGTAAGAAAGTACACAGTAATTAGCCGCATCTGTTATGCAAACTGCCTGCTCAAAAGTGGGGTCATGTCTTCTTTGGCAACTTGAAATTCAGACCTCATAGCTTAAATCATCAGATGGATTTGTTACCTTGCATAATCGTCCACTTTACACGCCGAATAAGGATTTTCATGGAAAATGATAAATGCAAAATTCTTTGGAATAGGCCCGTATACAATCTCAGAACTATCCAGGCCAACAAACCCGATCTTGTCCTTTTTTACACATCCAATGAAATTAGTTTAATTATTCTGTCCCTTTTCCCTCAATTGACCAGAGTGCATTTGACTTCCATTCTCAGCTCCCGGGGAGGTATACAGCCCAAGCTGCCTGTGAGGCGCTAGAAGGTTAACAGCCATATTACAAACTCATCTTTCCGGGTACCTATTCAGTCACTTACCACATGTGCTTCAAGTGCTTCAGTGATAGGCAAGACCAAAGCACTAGAAAACCTCGCACGTGGCCGCCCATCCAACTATTCTCCGCGACAGACGTTGGTTAACTTCACCAGATTTGTGACATGTGCGCTGTGCACAAACCACGTGTCACCTTCCATTCCCATAGTAGAAATAAGATATGACTTCACATAAGCCTTTGAGCAAGTTGCATCATTTGTGTTAGTAATGGTACAATAATGTTCCCGCATATGCTTCCACATAGTCGAAATCTTAATTGCGCCATCACAACTTTATTGACTGTTCAAGCAGTTGCAAATGGTTAGATTCAGATAAGTGATCCCTAATTGGCGCACAGGCATTGTGGCCTGAAGAGCTTTTTCCGCCTGACATGTTTCACTTTACCACAGCTTTGACAGTAATGTGTCGATAGCAAAGACCC